TAAAGAAAACACAAACCCTCCCAACTGGACCAATAAGCAACATCATGATAAACGGAGAAAAGATTGAAGTTGTCAAGGATTTCATTTTACTTGGATTCACAATCAACACCCATGGAAGCAGCAGTCAAGAAATCAAGACACATTGCATTAGGCAAATATGCTGCAAAAGACCTCCTGAAAGTGTTAAAAAGCAAAGATGTCACTTTAAGGACTAAGTTGCACCTGACCCAAGCCATGGTGTTTTCAATCACTTCATATGTATGCGAAAGCTGGACAGTGAATAAGGAAGACTGAAGAAGAATTGATGCTTTTGAATTATAGTGTTGGCAAAGAATATTGAATATACCATGAACTGCCAAAAGAACGAACAAATCTGCCTTGGAAGAAGTATAGCCAGCATGCTCCTTAGAAGCAAGGACGGTGAGACTTCTCTCAACACACTTTGGACACGTTATCAGGAGCGACCAGTCCCTGGAGAAGAACATCATAGTTGGTAAAGCAGAGGGTCAGTGAAAGAGAGGAAGACCCTCAACGAGATGGATTAACACAGTGGCTGCAACAATGGACTCAAGCATAACGATGATTATGAGGATGGTGTAGGACCGGGCAATGTTTCGTTCTGTTGTACATAGGGTCGCTATGAGCTGGAACTGACTCAAGGGTACCTAACAACAACAACAACAACAAGAATATTTAAATAATCATAATGAATGCAACAATCCCATGATGAACAAATATCCACATTTTGAATATAGACAGCTCAGGAACGGTGCTGTGCTGAGCCTTATTGGAGCTGAGACAATTAACACTGATCTGTTCTCTCGATACTGCATTATAATATAATCCGCCAGAATCACTGAGGTTTTGGCCCCTCCCCTACCCCTCTAATTTTGTGCTGGGGTCAGTGCCTCACTTGCCTCACCCTATTCCCAGCCCTCCTTCCTGTTCACAGTGAGGCACTTAACTCCTTTCTTTCTTTTCTCTGCTCAGTATCACTCTGAGTCCCAGCTACGCCGCCATGCAGAATTGTGCTTCCTGGACTAGATTCCTTCTGGGAAGCTGGACCCTGCACAGTGCTACAGGGTCAACTGTTTCATGTCCAGGAGGCCCTGCTTTCTGTGTGCATGGGAAGTGGCTACCTTCCTGGGGAGGAACAGCCACGTGAGCCTGCACATCTTCACTTCCTGCACCTATGAATACTTTCCATGTAAGGAGGGGCTGTGCTTACTGTGGGACGCTGGGGGCCCATCACCGTCATGGTCTACAAGGGTCAGAGTGGAACACATGGGGGGTAGAGGGTGGGGAAAGAGCTGTGGGAAGTTGCTAGAAGGACTGGGAAGGATTTAGAATCTCTGGTGGAGAAGCCTTTGTTGCTGCCAGCAGAGGTGATAGGAGACTCCTGGATAAGACTTGAGAGTGTAGTGGAAGAGAGAACTCAGGTGAGGAGATGAGGTCCCGGGAAGGGAGGCAGGGTGGCTGGAAGTGGAAGAATGACTTGGGGGTTCCAGAAAGAAGGAGATTCTTGCTGGGTTATATCCCAATTGGAAGAAAGAATTTGAGGGGGAAGCTCAGTTCCTGGAGGAGGGAAAGAGGAAGATGGAAATTATGATGCAGAAAGTGTATCCTTAGGAGTCATGCACCTTTGTTGCCCCTGGAGCTGGGGGTGACTTCATCTCCCTCTCAGCCTCAGAGTGTAAGCACTACTGGAGAACCTTTGTGGACAACCAGGGATGTCCTTTTGAGCCCTGGAATAGGCTGGATAAAAACAGTCAAACGATATGGAAGAGGCTGCAGAGGATTCTCCAAGTGAGAGCCCCTCAGTCCCCTTGTCCTCTCTGCCCCTCTCTCTCCCCTCCTGTTCTCCCTGGGCCCCTCCTTCCCCTCTGCTCAGAGTCTCCTCTGTACCCTTCTTTCTCCAGGGATGTCCAGCACCTTCCCCTCCAGCCCTTCTCTCCAAGTCTCCCCTGTTTCTCTCCCTCCTCAAGTCCCTCCCTCCTCTTCTCTCTCCTTCCATTGTCCCCTAGCCCCTTTTCTATTCCTTCTCTCTAACAGCCCCATTCCAATGCTCCCCTCAATTTCCTATCTCTTTCTAGAATGAGTACTATTGAGAAAACACCTTCAGTGTCTCCAAGGAGCTGTTGAACAAGAAAAATGTAGTCAATTACCTTTAAGAAATGTAATCACATAGTTCACCAAACCTCCAGATTGCTGGAAACAGAGCAGCAAAAGGCAACAAGCAATGAGCCCATAATATTAGAATTCTTTAAAATCAGAGCACAATTCCTTTTACTTTTTAAAATTGCTTTTATGTTTCAATTATACAGCAGTAATAGTATACACGTAGCTCTGGTGGCGCAGTGGTTAAAGCGCTCTCCAGCGAACGGAAAGGTTGGTGGTTGGAACCAACAGCTCTGTGGGAGAAAGACGTGGCAGGCTTCCATAAAAACTACATCCTTGGAAACTCTATGAGGCGGTTCCACACTGTCCTCTAAGGTCACTATGAGTGGGAATCGACTGGATGGCAGTGGATTTGGTTTTGGTTTGAACAGCATACTCAATACTATCACGATAATATTCAATTTTTAGTGTGATAGTTATATGATTGGTTTTAAACACAGCAACAAAACAAACTACAAAGAACCTTCCTGAGGTTTTTTCTTTTTTTCGGCTCTGTAAATACATCCTGGATTACAAATAGTAAAGCGAACACTTGCAAACATGTAAATGACTTTCTGGCAAGTCCTCACGTGGGGGCAATTATTGTGCTAACTCCCTGTGGAGAACCAATCATCAGCTACCTTTTCAGGAGGGGGACCTGGAATTCACAAACCCTCGTTCCGGGGAGGAGGGGAGGGGGCGCGGATTAAAGGTTTCCAGTCAGTTTGTGGGGAATGATGCTTCTCCATTCCACATCAAAAACATATAAGTGCACAAAATTAAAAACAAAACCAAAAAACCTTCTCTTGTTGATGGTTCCCACCCAGGGGAGCTGTGAGTGACAGGAGTGTGGCATTAGGAGACTCTACCCCCACCCCACCCCCCTACTCCCACCCACCTCAGGTGCCAGGTGGGCAGGGGTTCCCTGGGGAACAGGCCCAGCTTCTACCTAGTATTTGTTCTCTCCCCACTTAAGGGTGAGCAGGAGATGGTGGCTGGGAGGAGTCCAGAGCAGTGGGACAGAGACTGAGGGGTCCAACCCTGTAGGGACCAATACCCTCCTCTCAGGCAGGTCAGCATAGGGCAGAGAAAAGGCCCAGGGAGGGTGTGGACTTGGCCAGCAGGGCTCTGGATCATCCTGGGCTGGGACAAAAGTCCTGCTCCTCTGGGGAGTCCTTATATATAGCACAGGTGTTAGGGCCATGCTGAGCTGGGTTTACAGGCTCCGCCCCCAAAACAAGGACTTTCCCTTTCTTTTCTCATCTGTATAATGGCTGTGAGGACACTTCAGTCCCAAGATTGTATTGGTAATGAAATCAGAAAATTCTGTCAAGGGGCAGACACACTATAGGAGTTTTCCCCACCCTCAAGTCCTCCACTGAACTCCACCTGGCTCCCAGCATCCAGTTTCAGTCACATCACAGCAGGAACTGGAGGTTTTGCCCACGCAGGGAAGGTCCTGCCTGGACGTGCCCTCTGGCAGCTCAGAGTCCTGTCCCGTGGGGTCTCCTCCAGGGGTGGACACTGTCCCCTAATGACCTGTCTGCAGAGCTCAGGTGTCAGGGCTAATCTCAGTACTGGGAGCAGAACCTGGGAGATCATAGCTGAGTTGTGTGGTCATGAGGTCCCTCCATGTAGCAGACGTGAAGCCAGTGGCTGCTGGCAAAGCAAAGGATGCTGCTCGATGTGTCCTGGTGGTTAAGGGTGGCACCTGGTGTCTCTCACTTAGTTGTTCATGGGTCCCTCTGACACTGTACAGGCTCCTGGGTCCTTGGAGTGCCAGACCACATGCCATGGGCGGGAGGAGGAGCAGGAGGAAGCAGGGCCCAGAATTGGAGAAGAAGCTAAAGACATGGAGGGAAGCGCAGCCCCGAGGCTCAGGTACCCACCCTCCTCAGCCCCTCTGCTCCTCAGCCTCCCCCTCTGGGGCTTCCTTAGTGAGAACCTGCCCCCTCCCTCAGGGGCTCCTGGGGGCTCCTTGTCTCCTCAGTGATCTTGATGGCCCTGTCCTGGTCCAGCCAATGCCTCCCTGCTGATGCCACATCCTGGGCTTGACCCTGTGAAGTCTTCCTCAGTGTCCCCCTCCCTCCTCTGCTCTCTGGTCCCCCGGGGAAGCCCTGGACTTTCTGCTTTGGAAAATCCTTGGGGCTGGGGGCTGAGAGAGCATTTTTATTTTTAGCTTTATGATTGTTTTCATAAAGTATTATTTCCATAATTAGAAAAAAAATCCCTTAAGATATTTGAAAAGAAAACTCTCTGGCATTCTTTCCTTTCACTGGCCCCTCTCAGGAGGGTATTTGGCCCCGATGGGCAGTCCAACGAGGATTAACCAGCAGACAAGAGACATGAGCCCCACTGGGTCCACTTCCAGCAGGGGCATGGGTCACCAAAACCGGGACAGGGTGGAATGTGAGCACAGAGAAGAGAAGTCTTTGTTTGCTGTCAGCAGAAGTGATGGGAAACTCCAGGTTAAGACTTGGGAGTCTAGTGAAAGAGAGCTCAGGGGAGGATATGTGGTCCAGGGGAGGCAGGTTGGAAGTGGAAGAGGACCTTGAGTGTTTCCAGAAGGAATGAGGTTCTGATTGGGTCAGATTCCAATTGAAAGGAAGAGTTTGAGGGAGAAGCTAAGTTCCTAGGGGAGGGAAAGAGAGGAGAAGATGGAAAATATGATGCAGAAAATCTGTCTTTAAGATTCACTTATATCCTTGTTGACCTCCTGAGCATGCGGCTTGACTTTATTTTGCCTCCCCCCAACCCACACCCAGAGTCTGAGCACTTCTGGAGAAACTTTGTGGACAGCCAACCACGGATGTCCCTTTGTGCCCTGGAATGGGCTGGATAAAAACAGTCAGAACTTAAAGACGAATCTGCAGAGCATTCTCCAGGTGAAAGCCCCCTCTCTCCCTGGTCCTCTCTGTTTCCCTCTCTCCTGTCCTTCCCCTCTGCTCAGAGCCTCTTCTGTCCCCTGCTCCTTTCAGTGATGTCCAGGACCTTCCCTTCTAGCCCTTCTCTCAAAGTCCCTCTGCTTCTCTCCCTCCCCTCCTGTGGCCCTCCCTCCTCTTCTCTCTCCTTTTACTGTGTCCCAGCCGCTTCTCTATTTCTTCTTTCTAACTGCCCCACTCCCCTGCTCCACTCAATTCCCTTTCTCTTTCTAGAATGGGGACAACTAAAAGAATGGCTTTAGTGCCTCCAAGGAGCTGGGAACCTCTGTTGAACAGCAGAAATGTAATCAATTACCTTTAAGAAACATAATTACACAGTTCTCCACAATCTCTAGATAGCTTACCATAGACCAGCAAAAGACAGTGAGTGCCCAAGTATTAGATTTTCTAAAAATCAGAGCAGAATTACTTACAATTTAAACTTTATTTTATGTTTTAATTATACAGCAGTAATGAGTCCTTGAGTGGCACAAACAATCAAGCGCTCAACTACTAGCTGAAAAGTTGGTGGTTTGAACCCACCCAGAGGTGCCTTGGAAGAAAAGCCTGGCATTTGGCTTCCAAAAGGTCACAGCCTTGAAAACCCTGTGAATTAGTTCTACTATGCACAAAATGAGTCACCATGAGTTGGAATTGACTTAACAGCAACAACAATAGTATGCTCAATAATATCTAAGTAACTTTCAATTTTTAATGCGATTGTTATAAAATTAGTTTTAAATCCTGAGCAATAAAATGAACTACCAAGAACTTTCTCAAAATTTTTTTTTTTTGCTCTGCAACTATGTCACGAATTCTCAGTAGTTAAATAAATCTTGCAAACATGTAAAAGACTTTCTTTTTTGGCGTATGTCCTCATGCTAATTCCCTGTGAAGAAATACAAATTAGCTAATCTTTTAGGAGAGAAACCTAGAATTCACAAAGCTAGACTCATCAACAACCTATCATACTGTTGCCCAGCACTGTTTTTGAAATGACAGGCCATGCAATAAGAAAAGAAAAAGAAGAGAGGCTAAATATTCTGTGAAGGAAAGGGAATCTTTGTTGTCCTGGAAACCCAGGAAGCAGAGACTCTCCCTCAGAGGGAGGCAGGAACTCAGAGGGTTCACCTGCAAGTGCTTTAGGGGAACAAGAAATAAACACCAGTAGGAAATGGGGAAATGGGACCAGGAAGGGAAGGCAGCCAATGCATGCGCGTTATGAGACACTTTTGGTAACTGGAGCTTAGTCCCACTAGGGACACTCAAGGTCCACTATAGAACACGCATGTCGGATAATCCCCACTAAGGGGCAAGGAGGTGGACTATCAATACAGCAACCTGTGTCAGCCATTGGCTGTGGGCTGCTCTGGGGCCCTCCCTGGCTATATAGCAGACCTGGCAGCTGAAGATCCCCTGACGAAGAACTGCAGGGCCCTGCTATTGAGAGTGAGAAAGGAGAAGGCTTCAGTGGGGAGGACGAGGACCGGGATGTGGGTGCTGTGCTTCCAGTGTGTGCCACACTCAAGGGTAAAGGAGGAGACAGCCCCAGTGCTGGGGGCTCCCAGCATCCCCTGGTCTGTCTTGCTTCATTTAGTTCATTTTCCTCTTCTCATACATCATCATACACAGCTAAAAAGAGCCATTTAACACTTTCTACATTCTGCTCAGAAATCTCCTTGCTAGCACCACAAGTTTATTAGGTGCATTTTCTATCTTCCAAGTCACTGCAAGTGACAATTTCCCTCATTTTTTCACTGCTGCAAAAATAAACCAAAAAACCAGACGCATTGCCATCAAGTTGATTCCAAATAGGTCACCATTTTTAGCCTCAAATAACAAATTTCTTCACCTCCTTCCCAGCCTCCACTAAGAGTTCACCATTCCCCTAAGCTTACTGACCTGTAGGCTTACTGACCTCCCCCTGCAACCTGGTCCCAGAGCCAATATTGCATATTTTAAAGTGTTATGGCAAATCTAGGTGCCAATTATTTTGTATTAGTCATTTATTCCTATATAATAAATCACCTGTGTATTCCTTCTGGAGAGGTTCACCTGTTTAGTCGCTCTTTATGTTGGTGAAAAAAGGTGTTTGCAGTGAAGAAGTCGTTGGTCTTGCAAAAGTCTGTCATGCGATCTCCAGCATCATTTCTATCACTAAGGCCATATTTTCCAACTACCCATCTTCGTCTTTGTTTCCAACTTTCACATTCCAATCACCAGTAATTATCAATGCATTCTTATTGCATATTGGATCAATTTCAGACTGTACAAGTTGGTATAAATCTTCAGTTTCTTCATCTTTGGCCCTAGTGGTTGGTGTGTAAATCTGAACAATACTCGTATTAATTGGTCTTCCTTGTAGGTGTACGGATATTATCCTATCACTGACAGTGTTGTACTTCAGGATAGATCTTGAAATGTTCCTTTTGACCATGAATGCAATGCCATTCCTCTTCAAGTTGTCATTTCCGGCATGGTAGACCACATGACTGTCCAATTCAAAGTGGCCAATTCTAGTCCATTTCAGCTCACTAATGCCTAGGATGCCGACTTTATGGGTTCCATTTCGTTTTTGATGGTTTCCAATTTTCCTAGAGTCATACTTCGTACATTTCCACTTTCTGATTATTAATGGATGTTTGCAGCTGTTTCTTCTCATTTCAAGTTGTACCGCATCAGCAAGTGAAGGTCCTGAAAACTTGACTCCATCCACATCATTAAGGTCAACTCTATGTGAAGAAGGCGCTCTTCCCCCGTCGTATTCTGAGTGCCTTCCAGACTGAGGGGGCTCACCTTCCAGCACTATATCAGACATGTTCCGTTGCTATTCATAAGGTTTTCACTGGCTAATTCTTTTCAGAAGTTGACTGCTGGGTCCTTCTTCTTGGTCTGTCTTAGTCTGTAAGCTCAGGTGAAACCTGTCTGCCATGGGTGACCCTGCTGGTATTTGAATACCAGTGGCATAGCATCCAGCATCAAGGCAACATGCAAGCCCCCACAGTACAACAAACTGACAGAGAGAACAACTTCAGGGACCGACTGAGGAACAGACCGTCAATTGCTCATGTGCAAGTTCAAGTTGAAGCTGAAGAAAATTAGAACAAGTACACTAGAGCCAAAGTACGATCTTGAGTATATCCCACCTGAATTTAGAGACCATTTCAAGAATAGTTTTGACACATTGAGCACTAATAACAGAAGACCACATGAGTTGTGGAATGACATCAAGGGCATCATATATGAAGAAAGGAAGAGGTCATTAAAAAGACAGGAAAGAAAGAAAAGATCAAAATGGATGTCAGAAGAGACTCTGAAACTTGCCCTTGAACATCAAGTAGTTAAAGCAAAAGGAAGAAATGATTAAGTAAAAGAGCTGAACAGAAGGTTTCAAAGGGCAGCTCGAGAAGACAAAGTAAAGTATTATAATGCTATGTGCAAAGACCTAGAGGTAGAAAACCAAAAGGGAAAAACATGCTTGGTATTTCTCAAGCTGAAAGAACTGAAGAAAAAATTCAAGCCTCGAGTTGCAATCCTGAAGGATTCAGTGGAGAAAATATTAAAAGACCCAGGAAGCATCAAAAGCAGATGAAAGGAATACACAGAATCACTATACCAAAAAGAACTGGTCGATGTTCAGCCGTTTCAGGAGGTAGCATATGATCAAGAGCCGAAAGTACTGAGGGAAGAAGTCCAAGCTGCACTGAAGGCGTTGGTGAAAAACAAGGCTCCAGGAATTGACGGAATGCCAACTGAGATGTTTCAACAAACAGATGCAGCGCTAGAAGTGTTCACTTGTCTATGTCAAAAAATTTGGAAGACAGCTACCTGGCCAACTAACTGGAAGACATCCGTATTTATGCTTATTCTCAAGAAAGGTGATCCAATCGAATGTGGAAATTATCGAACAATATAATTAGTATCACACACAAGTAAAATTTTGCAGAAGATCATTCAAAAGCAGCTGCAACAGTATATCAACAAGGAACTGCTAGAAATTCAAGCTGGATTCAGAAGAGGACGTGGAACCAGGGATATCATTGCTGATGTCAGATAGATCCAGCTGAAAGCAGAGAATACCAGAAAGATGTTTACCTGTGTTTTATTGACTATGCAAAGGCATTTAACTGTGTGGATAGTGATAAATTATGGATAATCTTAATCCAGAACACTTAATTGTACTCATGAGAAATGTGTACATAGATCAAGAGGCAGTTGTTTGAACAGAACAGGGGGATACTGCATGGCTTAAAGTCAGGAAAAGTGTGCATCAGCATTATATCCCTTCACCATACTTATTCAGTCTGTATGCTGAGCAAATAATCTGAGAAGCTGATCTATATGAAGAAGAACGGGACATCAGAATTGGAGAAAAACTCATTACCAGATGACATATCCTTGCTTGCTGAAAGAGCAGAGGACTTGAAGCACTTACTAATGAAGATCAAAGACTTCAGTATAGATTACACCTCAACATAAAGAAAATAAAAGTCCTCACAACAGGACCAATAAGCAACATCATGATAAACGTAGAAAAGACTGAAGTTAGCAAAGATTTCATTTTACTTGGATCCACAATCGACACCCATGGAAGTAGCAGTCAAGAAATCAAAAGACACATTGCATTGGGCAAGTCTGCTTCAAAAGACCTCTCTACAGTTTCAAAAGCAAAGATGTCACCTTGAGGACTAAGGTGTACCTGGCACAAGCCACGGTGTTTTCAATTGCCTCATATGCATTTGAAAGCTGGACAGTGAATAAGGAAGACCATAGAAGAATTGATGCCTTTGAATTGTGGTGTTGGTGAAGATTATTGAATATACCACACCATGGACTGCCAGAAAAGCAAACAAATCTGTCTTGGAAGAAGTACAGCCAGAATGCTTCTTAGAAGCAAGGACAGTGAGACTTGTATCATATACTTTGGACATGTTATTAGGAGGGATCAGTCCCTGAAGAAGGACATCATGCTTGGTGAAGCAGAGGGTCGGTGAAAGAGAGAAAGACCCTCAATGAGATGGATCAACACAGTGGCTGCAATAACGCACTCAAGCATAACAATGATTATCAGCAGAGCTAAAGAGCTTTGTAACACTTGCCCAAGCAGGGCAGAGGCCAGGCCAAGAGCGAAGGCCAAGAGCCAAGAGCCAAGGGCTGAGAGGCCTTCTTGCAGGCATGGCTGAGAAGAAGCTGTCCTGATCAAAGAACTGTATTCTGAGTCATTCCTGTGACTTCCAAATTGACCCTGATCCTTTATAGTGACCTTTTACTTCCCCAATAAACCTCATAATTGTGAGTAGGATCTGTGAGTTCTGTGTGGCATTGCAATGAATTATCGAACCCAACAGAGAAGTAAAGAGTGCCTTGGGAGGGATGACTGGTGTCAGAATTGGTTAAAAAAAAAAAAAAAAAAAAAAGTTGGAGGGTGGAGGTATGTGTGAGCTCTTCTTCATAGAAGTCTGTGTTGGACTGATGCTGATTCTCTCTCCTCCCTCTGAAGTTAGATGAGGTATTAAGACATGCCATTTTTACAGTGTGTTTTCTCCTTCTCCACATAATTTCTCATCATTTAGGAGAATAGACCTGGTTCCCTTGCATGGCAGTAAGAAAGTTCCAAGAATGTAAAAACAAAACATACCAGGCTACTCCAAGCCCATCCTCAGAAGTCACAGGACATCACTTCTACCACCTTTTATTGGCCAATGCAAGTCACAGGCCAGCCAGGCTTGAAGGGACCCTGGATGGGAAGAGTGTTAAAATCTCATTACACAGGGACAGGAAAATAAGGATGGGGAAACTAGAGGCACAAACTGCACATAAGCTCCCCACCCCCAAACAATGAGAGTGAAATGGAGAAAAGTCCACATTTGTCACAGTCACCTGAGCCCAGGAGTGGCTGACCATCAGGCCCCAGGTGAGTGTTGCCAGGTAAGCACATGCAAACTGGGGCCTCTGCGGGCCTGTTCTCCCTGTGAGGAGGAGCTGTGAGGAGGATGAGGGTGGGCCTGAGGAGCAGAGGACAGGGAGTCAAGAAGGGGTTCACTTAGAGGGTACAATGGGCCTGACCTCAATGTGCCCTCAATATTGAAGTAGGAATTGGTGCAGCCATGGAGGTAGGTCCTGGTGCCAGCCCAGTTTCAGGCTCACGGGGACCCTGGGCAAAGCCAGAGAGGGCCTGGATGGCACAAAGAACCCAGGCATCCGTACCAGCTAGAATGTCTTTACAATGCCTGCTCCATCACCACCTGGCTGGCTTTGGTCTGTCACTTCTGGTCTCTGACACTCCCCTTCGTCATCTGTAAAGTGTAAGAAAAACCCTGAGGGCTCAGTGCTCCGTTGGGATGAGAAGCAGTGACTTCTCTAGTTGGAAGCACAGAGTGGATGCTCAGTGCTCCTTTGTCTCCTTTTCTCTGCCAGAGGGGAGGGTGAAAGCCCAGCCACATGACTCCCAGGCCTGACTCACCGAGATCCTCCACCTTAGCTTGGTCAGGTGCCTGGGAAATTCAGGGATGGGTGTGGCCTGGCCCTGCCCCCTGGCAGCTCGTGGTCTCTGCCCATGGGCCCCTTTGTTGCATCTCAGCACTGACTCTCTCTACCCCTCCCCTTCCTCTTGAGTTTGGTCTCATCACCTGGATGAGAGCTTACCTTGACTAATGCTGCAAGGATGAAGGTGAGGCTATGTCACAGTCCAGAAAAACACAAAGGCCAACTGAAGCAGAAATAAATGAAAATAAGCAACATTTACTGATGCTGTCCATCCACCAGGCTCTCTTCCTCATGCCTAAACCAGGCTGGTCCATTTAAACCTCACACTTAGCCCAGCAGCGAGGAGTGATTATTATCACCTTCACTGTACAGATGAGCAAATGAGGATTATTGGGTTTAGAGATCACAAAGCAGAACTGGGATCTGAACCACCCAGGCAGGTCTCAGCCCTTGTGCTCAAATATTTTCCCTGGGATGATTCCAGCAAGTCTTGAATCAGGCTAAAAAATATTTATTTTTCTAAATATAAAGGTTTACCCAATTTTATAAACATCCTTATTTCAGATCCAACGTTAAAAAACAGATTGCTACCCTATAGAGGAATTAAGAAATTATCTATCTGTAAAAAAGAAAGTCAACTTGTCCTTTAATTTCCCAGATAGAATTTTCTAATATCTACAATCTAAATTAAGAAGCCCAGGTGGCACAATGGTTAAGCGCTTGGCTGCCGACCAAAAGGCTGTCGGTATGAACCCACCAGCAGCTCCAAGGGAGAAGAGACCTGGCAATCTACTCCTATAAAGATTACAGCCTATGAAACCCTATGGGGCAGTTCTACTCTGTCCTATATTGTCACTATGAGTTGGAATCCACTTGACAGCACACATCAACAACACAATCTAAATTATTTCCATTTAAAATGTTAAGTACACAGTTAAAATGCTTCCTAAAAAAGTTTAATTAAATATTCAATATGATAATATATTTTAGAATGTATAATATTTAAATATGATAATATGTGAACCTCAGACTGCCTGCCCATGTTAAGTAAGGGGCAAATCCCATCCTTGTCACCAATTGCCTGGTAACGATCAGCATGAATCCAATTCCCATAAGGTGGGGATCAATCCTCAGTCCTCACCTCGCCACCTCTGAGTTCTTGTTACCAGCCACCCAAGTGCCTCTGTTTCCAACCCTAGCCACCTGGAGCCAGGTCAGAGCTCATAAGTTAGATGGACTGTCCTTCAGACCAGCTGCTCATTCATTCTTTGCCACCTGGAGTTAGGTCAGAGCCCACAAGTTAGAAGGACACAGTCCTTCAGATTACCAAATAGGCAGGCATCAGCCACAAGCTTGGGGAGTTCACATGACACCCGGATCTTCTGCCCTGCTGGCCACAGATTCGGGGCTGGTTTCCCACTACCCCTTCAGGATACCAGCTGTGAGCTCGGGAGTCCACACGACACCCTCTCCTCCTGACCTCCTGGCTCCCACTCTCCCTTTGGGTTTGACAATATGCCGGAACAACTCACAGAAAGTTGTGGAGAGTTTACCATACTTATGACTACAGATTTGTTACACCCAAAAAGGAAACAAACGAAGGTCTGGGAGGGATTCCAGTTTGAAGTGCCCATATCCCAAGGGATGTGTTACCCTCCTTAGAACAGATGTTCTCACCAATCAGGAAACCCATCTGAGCCTCAGTGTTCAGGACTCTTATTGACCTCCCCATGTGGCCATGATAGATTACATCATACCTCCTAAGGCTTAGTCAGTAACTGGCTCCAAGCTAGTCCCTCTTGGTCTGGTCAGCCTCCATTCATTACCCGAAAGTGGGGTCTGGCTTTCAAGAACTGAGAACAAAGGCTAAATTACCACCCCATATTAAGATACAGATACAGCATAGCCTCCCTTCAGCTCCCTTGCCTACCCTGCCCCTATTCTCTGGTCAGCTGTAAGAATCAGAAAAATAAATTACTCCTAACTTCCTGCTCAGAAGTAAGCCTATGAACACTCTGATGTGTATTTAGCCTGAATTTTTTTTTTCTGTCCAATATTTTCACAGCAAAGATGATAGAGTGTAGATATTAAAGGCATGGGCTGTGGGCCCAGATTTCCTGGGTTCAACTTCCAGCTGCCCACCTCCAATCTGTGTGACCTCAGATGAGTGACTAACTCTCTCTGTCCTTCAGAACTGAGCTTGTTTGAGGTGAGTGGGGTATTAAAAGGATGAACACAGGCACAGCCCTGGGGAGAATAGTGCAGGGGCCCTCATTAAGAGGATGTCAACCACCCTACACTTGAAACCACACTGTGTGCATGAGTTGGAGTGTTTTTTCCCCTTAGCATAAACATAAACATTTTCCCAAGTCTTTAAAATTCATGGCAAACATAACTTCAAAAGACTGCAGAATATTCTATATGTGGCTACCCTCTGATTTACCTGGTGGAATCAATTCCCTGTGGGATTTAGGTATTTCCAAATTTTTGGTATTGTCCGAAAAGCTACAACCTTCAGTTTTATAAACCTTCAGCATTTTAAATCAATAGTCCTAGAAAGTCGCCAAAGGATTGGACAGCAAAGATTTGATGCATGTAGGCAAAAGACCTCTTAAAGTGTTAAAAAACAAAGATGTCGCTTTGAGGAGTAAGGTATGCCACGGTATTTTCAGTCATCTTATATGCATGTGAAAGCTGGACAATGAATAAGGAAGACTGAAGAAGAATTGATGCCTTTGAATTATGGGGTTGGTGAGGAATATTGAATATACCATGGACTGCCAGAAGAACAAACAAATCTGTCTTGGAAGAAGCACGGCCAGAATACGCCTAAGAAGTGAAGATGGCGAGACTTGTCTCACATACTTTGGACATGTTATCAGGAGGGACCAGTCCCTGGAGAAGGACTGGTAAAGTAGAGGGTCAGCGAAAGAGAGGAAGACCCTTAATGAGATAGATTGACACAGTGGCTGCAACAATGGGCTCAAGCATCACAATGATTGTGAGGATGGCACACGACCAGGCACCTAACGACAACAAGCCAAAATTCCCTATGAGAACCTTCTCCAGCAGGGGAGTGTGAGAGGTGCTGTGGACCCCGATCACCCTGACCCTCCTTATCGGGGTGTGCAGGGCATGAACCTGGGGTACAGGGGGCCAGTCATGTGAGGAACAGGACAGAGGAAGCGATAAGCCATAGGTCCCTCCTGCTGCTCCCCCCTTCCCCAGGCTCCTGGTCTTGTCATCTCTGCCTGTGCAGACACCCTTGAGTTCTTTCTTAACCTTTACTCCATGTCCCTGCCCTTGACAGATGAGTTAAATGTTCTTAATGGAGATATTTTTCTTTTTTCTTTTTCCTTTTTTTAAATATTTTATTGTACTTCAGGTGAAAGCTTACAGAACAAATAGTTTCTCATGAAACAGTAGTACACATGTTGTTTTATGACATTGGTTAACAACCCCACAACATATTAACCCTTTAACTTCTCAACCGTTTTTTTGGTGAAAATATACATAGCCAAAGATACACCATTAGAAAAATTTCTACATACACAGTTCAGTGACATTGACTA